CAAATCTAACCACACAAGTCTTTCAGCCAACGTTGATGTATAACGTTGAATTTACAACGCGTACAAATTTATATTCGTAGCTTGGTAAAACACATGTTATGTCTTCGATAGGTTTTTTATCTTACTTTTAACTTGGTAAGCTTAAGAAACATAATATCTGTACACATAATAAACAATACAATTATTCTCCCCCCTTCAGTCCGTGTTTATGTGTAGCAAGCTATAAAATTGATATCGATACCAAGTTTCACTGGAGATTACACCTAAAACATTGAATCTTTCTTACATTAGTTAAGAATCAACGGAAAAACTTATGATTTATTGTTTATATGGCAACAAGTTTCTTATAATTCTCCAAACGTTACGAGCTTTATTTTTATTGAGTTGGCAATACCGGAAATTACAAAAAAGGACATTTACAATCAAAATAAATATAAAAAAAACATCTGAAGGACAAAATCACAAAAAAACTACGAATTAAAATTAAAAAAACGTATTTATAACATAACCGTAAGAAAATAATTGTATACTAAAACTTATTTTTAAGTTCAATATTATATATAATTCAAATTGAAATATATATGTCGTATTTTGAATGATATTAAGTTATAAGGGTATAGTTGATTAATTCTTTTATAAATGTATAACGAACAACAGTAGAAGTTATAAAGGGGCTTTATATCTATTTTAGCAACTTTGATGTAACGATTAAAACGTGGATTTGTGAATCAAAAATGTTTACGTATATTGCGATGCTGTTAAAGGACGACGTGGTTTTGAAAAACAGTTTTGCTTTATGTATTGTTTACTATTCAGGATAATATGCACTAAGGGGAAGAATAACTGAAAAGCTGCGGGAAAGAACATTTTTTTATATTTGATACTGACAGGGTAATTGCAATATCAACGCAACAAAAACAACCAGTATGGCCTATTAAGCCCATCTGGCAACATCGCTTTGGTAATTAAAGACAAACGTCCAACTGCAATGTTTAAACTGCTATACATAAATAAATAGCTCTGTTTTATCCAATATTATCACACTACATTTTATATTCTATAAAAATATAAATTTCCTTTAAAACTATTAACTCAATTATCCTTATTACTGTCGTATTTACATAGAATAGTTTTTTGCGATACAATAATTTGAAAACATATTAAGAGTATATAAAATCTGAACCCCTCAGTAAAATAAATCAGGGGGAAACCCATTAAAACTGATTGACACCACTTTTTTATGGTGTTACTCCGTGTAACACGTTTTCTGTTTAAAACTACGTTCACTGGATAAACCGAGTGAAAACTTCTTATACTGTTTTAGAACGTAATTTAATATACAATAGGAATCATAAATTTGATTTACCATTTTAAGACTATTCATAAGTATACATTTTCGATCAATTTAAATGACATTACCACACCTGACACACAAATTTACATCTCCTTAAAATAATAACACATAAAAATAAATATATTTAATCACACCGATTTTCCTTATGTGAAAAAAATTGGGACTTTAAGATTTTTTAGAAAGCATTTACACAATTTTACCGTATAAAGAAAGAGGGCAATAATATGTGCAAAGTGAAAAAAAAAATCCTCAAACATATTAATTAATCAACTTCAGTATTTCGAACATGTAAGGCTTATAAGTTAAAATTTAAATTATACCACTATTAATAACCAACAACATCTAAAATTCGTTTATTATTTAGTTAAACCATTGAGTTTATTTTTTATTTTTGTTAAATATTTATGTTAAAATATAATTTTAATTAACATTAGATGTAATAATTGGTTTGAAATACCACTTTTTTATTTAATCATTTAGCTGTTCATTTTATGTACATGGTACCTACACATGTTCGAAAATGTATATCTAACATATTTAATCGATTACCTAAGTGAGTTAGTTCCATAGCAAGACATTTTATGAGTTAATACAAATAAAATAACACTATATAGCACAGTTCAACTGTTGCACATAAACCAGATCCCAGGGGTAGTTATATTATATTACCACGGTCTTGGTCCAAGTAGGACATCGTTTACCCATATTTACATAGTTATAACCTTTATATCCCTTAGGTTAACCGATGTATGGGGCTTGAATTGCTTTGTCTCCAAACACGAATATTACACTTGGAGTAGTTCAACAAAAAGCCAAGTATATGTAGTTAGAGCCTTAATACTTTTCATATTCAATCGATGGTAGTATTTTGCATATTAATAATATTTAACCCATGGAATAATTCAACAAAAAGCCAAGTATATGTGTTTAGAGCCTTAATACGTTTCATATTCAATCGATTATATTTTTTTGAATATTAATAATGATTAACCAATAAACAAAAAGGTGGTTTGTTAGAATAGCTGTTTTAGCGGGGTTAACATATATGTATAACAGTTTGAGCCTTAGTTTTCATTGTAATATATCTAATGACGTAAGCACCTTGCTTGCCTGTTTCCAGAATGTTTACTACCAGATTGCTTTAGGTCCGTAACTACTCTTACAATTAATTGACGTATTATAGACGTACTATAGCAATGTCTACCGTACTGCAGAAACAACTGATGGAGCTGATGAGATACACAATAACAACATTGTAACACGTCATCATATTCAGTGACCATCGCTCAATGTGAAGATTAACAGAAGAGGTATTCACTAAACTGAGTTTAAATTGTTCAGTGCTTTACTAATAATGTAGTGTTCTTCAAAATAGTGTTAAAAACAATATAATTTATTTTCAACTACGTGTATATTAGACGTCAAATAACGCCGAATTCTATTTTATTTTACTTAAGCACATCTGACTATGAAAACCATACTTAGACAAAATAAAGATAAAAAAAGGAAAAAAAGGAAAAAATAGTCCTGGAGATTTATCTATAATTTACAATGTTTACAATGAAAGTTGTACATGAACATCGGTATCGTTATTAAAATTTAATGTTTAGTCCAAGCGTTTTATTTGTTCAATTAAAAAATAAATCGGTCAAGGACCGTTTCAACTCTTAAATTGTAGCTTTTTAAAAACATATTCATCAGTTAGTACGGAATTAACTGAAATAGCTTTTTCACAATCCTGAGAATTAATTATAATAGACATAATAACGTAAACTAAATTCTAACTTCTATCAAATTAAATAATGTAAGATACATGTTTAACTTGTGAATTACATTTGTGATTTTGCCACAGAAGTTTTAATTTAAAATATTCTCAAAAGAGTGAATCAATAGTATGGCATATAAACAAGAAATTAATTATAACGAAATAAGCAATGTCATTCAGTGCGTCAACGTGGATGAAATAAGGTAATTTCTAACTGTGATGCTGAATTGAACATAACTGATCCTAATATTCGTCAGAGTTGTTACACACTTTTACATTTCATTTTCGTATTTATGTATCTCAAGCCATCTAATAAGACGTTACATTATTTGAATACATTATACATTATAATACAGGGTGGTCATAAATTACTGGACACATTTTAAGATTATATAAACAAATAACTTACAATATAACATGCAATTTAGAAGAATGGGAATTGTTTCATTGAATAGCAAATTTATAACAGTGTTATACAGTTACTGAAAAACAATTATTAAAGTATTAATTATTATAAAAATTGTGTAAAAATCACCTAAACTGTGAGTGTAAGCTATTTTTTCCCAATGACTTGTGTTGTAGTGAAATTGTCAGGTGGTCAACAATGAAGCTTTCTACACCAGCTGTATGGCATTTGGCGAATCAAACCTTACACTTTTAAGTAACACAATTACTAGTGTGCACTAAAAACCAAAGTTTTTGGTTTCATGAAAGAAAATCTCTAATAACTGTTCGAAAAAGGCTTCGTCCAGAGTATGGTCGTAATTCTACGTGTATTAATTCTATAAAATAGTGGTACAAGCAGTTCAAACGACTGGGAAGTGTCAAAAATATTGTCTAAAGCATAAAATAAAGATAAAAAACCCAAAAGAAACATAACTTACAATAACAGTTTAGGTGATTTTTACAGTCTTTTTATAACTAATATTCATAATTGCTGAATTTTTTTTTAAATTAATTTTTTGCAGTTACTTTATTAAACTGTTTTTAATTTGCTATTTAAAGAAACAATTCCCATGTTTCTAAGTTGCTTGGTTATTTATCTATTTAATATTAAAATGTGTACAATAATTAACGACCACCCTGTATATTACACGAGACATTCTGTCTTGTTTCTTTAAAGCTGGAATTTTCTTAGCATTGAAAAGAGAAGTACAACGTTAAAGGGTCTACTTGGGAACCACACGTACAATAAAAGCAGCGCGGTATCGTTATAGAATATATGGTTGGTTACACTCGAGTGTGCAGTATAACAGAATAACGTGTATTGCTTTATTAACATAACATATTCCTTTAAAATTTTGAGATTGTAGCACAACGGATTGAGTTATCAAATAATTAAATAACTTACGTCATCAATCCATAAATTGCTGTGGAGTACGCGTTTCAACCATCAGGTCATCCTCAGCTCCACTGTCACTAGGTTGAATTTGCTTCTATGTTGCATTATAGCTACAGCGTCGATATACTAGGAGTACGCTCCGAAGTCGCGTATGAGAATGAACGAAGACAATTTCATACATACAAATATGTTATTTAACAGTAGATCAACCACATTCATATCAGTTGATCAGCTGCTCAAGAAGTTTTAACTTAATTAAGGCACTTATCAAATCCATAATACTATAGATGAAACAAACTCCCTAAGGGAGTATGTTAAATCTACAGTATGACAATACTTTTTCACCAAAGCAGTTTCTTTACTGCACTTTGGGCTTGTGTCATTAAAGCAGCTAGGACCAGGAATCAGGGAGATGGTTTATGCATGGAAACTTTGGTCCAAGGTCATAAGACAGGTTTGAGAAAATCCACTAAAAGAACGGGTAAATCTTTCCAAATTCCGTGATGTATAATCAAAGAATGTATTTCAATTTATTACTAAAACCAGCAATATTGCTAGAAAATGCTAAGCAATATAGGTTTGTCAATCTAATAAATAAAATCTCCAACAATTATTATTTGTGATGATTCATTGCTGTAATGTACAGCAGTGTGTAAGAACATCTCTCACATGACCCATAAGAAGAATTACAATCATATCACAATACATGAAAATTTAAAACTTGTGTGGCGAGGTGGAGGAGAAAACACTATTTTGAACCAGCAGAAACTGCTGATTTTGTTGTGCGAGTGATAAAACAAATGTTTTAAAGTTTTAAAACTTCATATTTAGATTCATATTTTAAGTCATTATCATAATAGTTTTAAATGCAAAATTACTATGAAGGAGTAAATATTTTCTAAATATCAAGTATTTTTTTCCCTCCTACAACTTCACACACAATTGGAGAGTACTGTCAAATGTTCGACTCTCTAGAGGACGAGATCCTAAACATCGATGGTGAGGTGACTGTTTGGAGGGATTTTAATGCTAGTGTGGTGGAATGTGAAACAAACACAGGAAGGCGGTATGTTTTAGAGAGGGCAGCCAGGCTAGCTCTCTATATCCTAAACACAGGTGACGTTTCCAACATCCGTCACCCCCGGCATGGAAAGATGGTCCCTGACATCTCTCTGGCATCTGAAGCCCTAGCCCACCGGTCACTGATAGGAGAGTCTCTGAGGACTACTCTGCAAGCGACTTATCTGGCAATTTTCTTCAAGGATATTCCTAAACTTTCCTGAGCTGGGCAAATACACAATATGCCAGCTCAGTTCATCCATCTCAATGTATCTCAGTTGTCTTTGCCAGGGCACATTTCAGGGTTACATAAAAAATTAGCCTCTTGGGGACATTGGAAGTGCCTAATTTCAAGCTACGTTGACAATGCGTTCCCCCATCTCCGGCATTTGATCGTTCCATGCCTAGGATTTTTGCCACCGCAGAAAGAAGCCAGTTAACTGGTGGAAACCCAAGATTGTAGAACCCTGGAGAATATGCCTTGAGCTCCAACGAGCAGCGCACCATGCCAGAAACTGGCCTGAAGCTAGATCGGCAGAGCTCAAGGCCGCAATTCAAGATCCCCATATAGTGCTATCAACTGGAGTAACGTCAGGTGCTGGAAGCAACTGTCAGGGCATCCAGAACAATTCTTGAGTGATGGGCTACAAGATTGTAACCCAAATGATAGGGACTTGATCACCAACTACAGTCATGGAACCTGTCACCGTTGCTACTGTCATTGAAGCGTTATTTCCAAAGCATCCACCGCTACCAGCGAGGGAATTTGGAGATTAGGGCGCGTTACCAGCCTTTCGGGAAGAGGGACTTTCCTCCACTGTCCCATTCCTTAGAAATGGAAGAGCACCTAGCCCTGATGGCATTCCTGCATAATTTCTACAGCTTGTTGGTGTTCATTAGACTGTTACTTGAGATACAAGTCGCTAACTAATACCTGAAGAATTCAGTACTCAATACAGAACTTGTAGTCATGGATTCTGCTATGCTGTAAGTTAGTTGAAACCAATCTTAAAACTTAAAGTGTGGCCTATCTTTACATTCTAAGCGGTATTGAACTTGGATTTAAATGCAATAATGTCTTGTAAATTTTTATTTGGTTGCTTGTTTTTATGAATATTAACTTTAAAATAACCTTTAGAGAGTCCCCATTTTCAAGTTTTACATCGAATGAAAGTTTTTTTTTTTTTTTATATGGGACTCTTTTATCTCAAACATTCAGTAAATACCAATTTTCATTAAAAATTACCTCCACCGCAGCAAACCTGCCGACTAAGCGAATTTCTACTTGCCTTATTTGATTTTCACTTAAATGTATTTTAATAACATTAGGTTTATCGAGTACCTAGGTTTGCTAATACAAGGAGGGTAATAATAAAGTGTAATTTTTGGTAAAATACTTAATAGCTTAGAATAACAAAAAAATATATATATATAACAGGGGAATTTCTTTTAAAATATTTTATTTTTTCTATTTTAAATAACCGTACGAAAACATCTCAATGTATTAAGTTTCTTCTGTTTTAAGCTATTCAAAATGGTTTAGAGAGAAAATATTTAATTTTTATATAGTCCAAAATGAGAAAAACCAAATTTTACCCATAAATCTGTGTTCCCGTAGCTCGATCATGCTCCTGTGCTAACTCGTCCAAACAGGTTTGTATGAAATTTCATTGAAATTGGATGGTTTTTACTCGAGTTATCGTGCTTACGGACACAAACACACACACACACATATATATATATTTAAATATTAATCTGAACAGATGGTGTTTTTGGCCACTGGAACATCAAAATTAAATATTAAAGTTGTTTCAGGTCTAGGTCTTACCCAGACCTGAGACAGTAATAGCTTATTCTCTATATATGAGTAATTCACTAAATAGTAGCTAAGAAACCAAACTAAAGAGTCATAGGCCTACAACTATCTATATATTAATAGTTTTAAATAATCCATAAACTTAAAACAAAAAGGGATTTCATGTAACAACCCTTTTCCAGCCTATCAAATTTAAAACTTAGGTAAGTCTCGGATTTTTAATAGTTAGGTGTCATTTTAATGCTAATGATTGCAAATAGTAATTTTTCATAAAGAAATCTTTATTTTTTTCCATACAACGTACAAACACAAAGATACATTTACAAAAAAAAAACAAAAAAAAAACAATAACCATCTTAGGTTTAAATATACACTTTCTTAATTTCCTTTAGGGCTTTACCCCCTCTAAGTTTAATTTATTTCTAGAGTCCATCCAAAGATCCTCGGCCTTAAGGTCAGCATATCTGGTATGCTGAGAAACTTTCTTTATTAAGATTGATATGTGAATTGTTATTTACAGTGGCGGTTCTAGGGGCCTTGTTATGGAGGGCTACCAGGGTGTTCCTCACCAGTAGGGGTCTAAGAGCTGTCCCCTGGGCAGTTTGCTATTTTTTACGTCACATTTACGGTCTATAAACTATGTTCAAACACAACAGTTACGTATTTACGACAAAAATTAACTTATGTTTGAATTTATACTTCCAGGTCCAATATAAAAACTCCCGTGAGTGGCTTCAGCCTCTGTGCCCCCCCCCCCCTTTGAATCGCCACTGATTTTAACAGCTGTAACTTTAGGTGAATGTTTAGCCACAGTCAGAATGTAAACAAAAGACTAAGCAGTTTACTTGGTCTGTGGATATGATGATTAGTGGCATCATATAATAGTTGGCTAAACTTGTTTTTTTTCTTTGCTGCATCACTGGTTCATGGTCTGTGAGTAGGTATTGTGAACCAAAAGACACCAGCTCTAGATGTGTAATATTAAATGTATACCTTGGTTTGTGACAAAGACCGCAGCGTTGCATACGAGGTAAGTTCGGAAAGTAAGATTGCCCTACTCCCTGGGGGAGCATTGCGATCGCATGTTAGCGCATGCGCAGTAGTTACTCTGAGTCTTCCGAAAGGAAATGACGCCATTTGGAACTCACTTTTTTTGTCGTACACTTCGTAACGCTTGTTCGTAATGCCTGCGTTGATTGAAAATCCAGCCGATTGTGAAATTCGATCAGTGATTTGTTTTTTTTAATACTGTACAAAAAGTTATATAGCAATTGACATTTACCGACAAATCTATTATGGGGACAATGTAATGAGTAATTCAATGGTGAGAAGATGTGTTTGACAGTTCAAAGAGGAGCAAGATACAGTGCATGATGAGGAACAAAGTGGACGTCCATCTGTGGTAAACAATGAAATGATTAGTGCAATTAGTCAATGTGAGATTAAAGAAAACTTTAATTTTACAATATGAGCTCTTGCACGTAAATTTCCTCAAGTTTCAAGAATTGTAATTTACGAGATTGTTACTGAAAAAATTTGACTTTTATAAACTTTGCTCACGTTGGGTGCCTAACATCCTTTCTGAACGGGGCAAAAACCACTAAATGGGCAGTGCACTTAATTTCTTGACTCATTATGACGAGAATGGTGATACATTTTCATTGCAGATAGTCATGGGAGACAAATCTTATTATGGGTTGCTTATGATACCTCTGAAACCAAGCATCAATCAATGGAATAGAGGCACACTGACTTACGTTTTTGCAAAAATCAAACCAAAGTAATTCTTGCTATCTCAAAAGGTCATGTGCACAGTTTTCTGGGACAGAAAAGGATTTGGCTTACTGATTTTTTGCCAGGAGGCCAAACAATCAATAAAGATGTTTATTGCGAGACACTCAGGAAATTGCGTCGCGCAATACAGAATAAGCTCCAAGGAATGCTTACGAAAGGAGTGGTTTTCTTTCATGACAATGCTTGATCACACACAGCAAATATGACGAAGCCACTTCTTTAGGGCTTTGGCTGGGAAGTTTTTGACCATCCTCCATACAGCCCTGACCTCGATCCAAGCGATTTTCATTTGTTTCGCAATCTAAAGTCTTTTCTTGGCGGTCAGCGGTTTATCTGCGATGAAGATAAACCGCACTTCGCTCTGCATACTTACCTGTCAAACTGTTTCAATTATTAAATATTTTTGTACAACATTTAATGTATCTCTATGCCAACATCATCCTAAACTGCATGTAGCCCATAGAAACCATTGTAATCCCCTTATCTGCCCTTTAATAAATATTGCAAAACAAAAACAAGAAATTAAAAAAGCTAAAGAAAAGGGTAGAAGGGGACCCCACAATTCACACGCACAAAATTTATCATCAACTGGACGCAAAAAATTCATTTGCCTTTTTTGTAATTGCCATCAATACCTCACGTATTTATTTTGGTTCATACATAACGCATGTTCATCATTGTCTTGAATTAATTCATATTTTGTTCAAAACTGTAAAAATGGAGTGTTCCGTTGAAATGTAAAATAAAATAAAATAAATAAAGAGCTGAAAGAACGTGTTACATCATGGTTGACTACACAGGCCGCAACATTCTACGAGGAGGGTATACGGTACTCAAACTTGTACCACGCTATGACAAATGTCTCAAATATTGCGGGAGTTATCTAGAAAAATAGTGTAAGAGTTGTAGATTTTG